AAAAAAATTTGGCAAAACGTTTCGATGGGTTTCGATTTCGATGCCTGTCGAAACCTCCGGGTTTTGCCCGGCAACCTTACATACGAATAATAGCTTGAAACTCTTACTAGTAAATTTGTACGTAATAACATAAAATTGTGGCTGATGCGGCTAACCTTTTTTTCACACTAATGTGACCTATAAATTTGTCACTCGATGCCACACTGTTTTCAGTGCGAAAAATCCTAATGTCATCTTATTTGTCACACGAATAATTCGGCTAAATTCAGTAATGCCGGCCAAAAAAGCATGTGGGTGAAAAAAATTGCCGACGATACTGGGGAAGCTATTGTTGACACACGTAAATGTTTTATTCATTTTTTATAAAACTAAAGTAAATGAGTTTTTTATTAAAAACTTGCTAAATATTAAAATAAAACTTCCGAATAAAACTTTCTTGAAATATTAATATTGACTCCAGAATAATAGGTTCGAATTAAGACCCTGTAAAGAACTTTATCCTTTACACCAATTTTTGAATTATTCCTATAACTTTGAAATTTTTTATTCTTTAATTTTAAATTCGGGAACACTGTAGACGGAAAAAGCGTTATTGTTACTATAAAAAAAGTACGTTATATAGAAACTTCAATCTGTACATATATTGCGCACCAACAATAACCGAAAACAATTAAAAAATTTATATAAATAATCTAGAATATTTAAATTTTAAAAAATTATAAAAAAAAAAAATTTATTTTTAAGATTTATTTGTGACGAAGTTTTTTTTTAAAAAAAATTATAATTTTACTTCGTAGACGATGTTTTTTAAAAAATAATAATTTATTTTACTGCGGAGGCGATGAATTTTTTTTAAAAAGTAATTTATTTTTTAAATATAGAAGCATCGAAATTCTTTAAAAAAAATAGTTTACAATGGAAGCAACGAAAATTATTTTTTTAAAAATAATTTATTTTTTAAATGTTATTATGGTCACCGGGACTATAGTTATAGTGAGCGAAGGTACACTATTTATTTATATTAACTTAACGTATATGGGAGAGTGAACGACCGTGATATCTATCGGTCAAATTAAAATTCAACACGATCACTTTTCATCACACGCTTTTTCCTTCTCTTCATACCCTTTTTTTTTCAACGTTTTCTTCTCTTTTCGTAATAAACTCTACCTCATTTTTCTCAAACTGTTTCAATAGCTTTTTTATAAACATATTATGTTACTCTCTTATAATGGAAACTAATAAAGACATTTTTTCCTTTTAACTCCTCTAAACCGAACTTAAATGAAGTTGTTGAAATTCTCGATGAGTATGATAGTGAAGATGACCATGCAGATGAAGAAAGCCAAGGAAATGCTTAGAATTAAACTCAGGAATGAATAGGCACTTGCCTTTGGCTTATTAATCATGGCATTGTACGTAGACATTTTTCTCGAGTTATATTTTATTAAAAAAAATAAAAATAGATAATGATCTAGAAAAAATTAAAATTAAATTTTTTTTTTGTTTATTTTTTTTTTATATACACGAAAGATTAAAAAAGGAGTTTTTCTTTCGATAATATGACTAAAAAACAAGACTAAAAAATAAACAACAAATAGGACAATACAGATAATGCGCCATCTATTTGTCATTTTATTTTTTTTCTTCTCGAACTAAAATTTTTTCTCAAACTAAAAAACATAAAAAATAAACAAAAAAATGTATCCTCTTTTGTTGTATATAAACTATAAAAAAAAGGACGAAAAGAAAAAAATGCAAAAAACGCAAAAAAAAAGAATAATGACATCTATATTTGCTGCAATTTCACAACTTCTGGTAATGTAACACTAACAGGAATTGCTAAATACCGAAGCGACGACGATGAATTCGTAAGCTACAACAACAAAGCATTTAACTTCGCTAATAATCATATGATTAATCAAATTGAGCGAAATAAAATATATTTATTATATTTTAAAATAATTATACTAATTAAATTAAAAAATATTTATTTTTTTCTAAGTTTATTTTCTTTTCTAATTCAATTAAACTAAAAAAAAAATATGAAAAAAGGTCACTATACTATCAGTCAAGCGACATCTTTGGATCTAAAAACCATTGAAGATGAACCATCAATAATAGATCTTCCAATATCTCCAGCTTTCAGAATCTACTCAGCCCCATGCAAATCTTCAGAATCTTACTTCACCTTAGAACGAAGGGCATATAGTCCAATGACTTCTAATTATCTAACATTAGAAGTCGCATGTTCATATGATGCTGCTAATCCTAGATATACTGGTGTCACGAGAGCAATTGAATCTAAAGCAATAATCTCTATCTGCGGCGAATTGCATAAGGGATACATATTGTAACGACTGATATTGAATGGAATAATACATACTTAGGAAATAAAAGTAGCACGTCATCTTTAGAACAAACTACAGATAATAAGAAACGACATAACCAAGATCTAATGAATTATGAAAACAGATACAAAAAAAAATAAAAAATCAATTAAAACAGATCAAAAATCACAAATCAAAATAGAAGAAATAAAAAGTGAACTGGATGAATCTGAAAATAAAAGTTGGCGTAAAATTTCTAATCTTTTTTTTTTCTCACCAGTTTATTCTATTCTTATGTCAAATATTATTTTAGTTCTTTTTTTAACAATAAAAAAAAGTTTATTATTTTTTTAATAATTAAATATAAAAAATCAAATACTCCTGAATTAACAAATCAACTAACTGATTAATTACTTTCAGCCAAAATAAAAAGAATTTTTTCATTTTGACGTAATAAATTTATATATTATTTTATTATGTAATAAAAAAATCATTAAAAAAAATTTATTAAAAAAAAATAAATCAAATAAATTAAAAAACAATTTGAATTACTCTTTTATTAAAAATTTTAAACTAAAAAAAGATAGACCGATAAACAAAAAAAATACTAACTTCTTAATTAATCACTTATCATTAAGCATGTATAAATTAAATAATAAATAATCAAATAAACCTTTTTAATTGATTTATCGCTACCATATATAAATTACAAAAAAATAAACATAATAATAAAAAAACAAATAACAAAAAAAAACAAATCAAAAAAGTCTACATGATACAATATACATTTTCGAATTCTATAGAACCAAATCTAATATTACAACGACCACATATTTTAACGTATCACTTCTTGGTAACTATGTAGAACGAAACCAAACTAACCAAAATATACAAAATTCACAAAATGTAATATTAAACAATCAAAATCACACATATACCTCTTCTTTTTCTATAATAAACTACGAACCATGGAAAATATCAGACAAACTTAATAACTTATTAAATGAATTTCAAGAAACGATTTTATACGATCATCCCTCTATACCATCAATATTAATGATGAACCAAACAACAAATTGGATTGATTATGATACAACAGAAGAATATACATTACCTATAGCCTTTCCAAATATTAAAATAATAACTCGCTTAAACAATCGAGGTAAAACAAAAATTGCTGTATGTTCTTCTTGTAAATCTAAAAAGACTCATCGATATCCACCAATCCTGCCTCCAATACCAGAAGAAATAAATGCTATTCCTATAATATATCGAAAATCTTATCACAAATACATATGAATTGTACATTAGGTCGAACTTTAGGATCTAATCCATATACAAACTATCGACACTTAAAAGGATTCATTAACCTTTCCAAAAACAAATATGCACTTCAACTACATTCAGGTCTAATTGGAGCCTTTTTAAATCAAGAACAAGAAGATTCTCCTAACTGGTTCCATCTAACATTAATACCCGCAAGTCAGTGGCTAAAAGAAAATAATCCTATATTTAAAGAATATAATCATTTATCATCTTTTGAATCACCAATACAAAATATAACAAATCAACCATATCCAATAGCTAGATTAACTAATATATCTTCTTGGTCAACACAAAACCAACCTCCTTAATTAATCGTATCAAATGAAAACTTTCCTACTAAAATACATAATGAAGATTACAAATATTAACACTTAATAGCAGGTTTCTTAAAAATAGATAACGAAAATCTAGATTTACCTATACCTAATTATAATCCTGATATATAATCCTTATTATTTCCTGATCTCTTTCCATTTGAACATTATCACTATGAAGATTCAAAAAAATTATTAGAATTTAAACAGAACATCGATAGTTATGGCAAATATATTAAATTACGATTATTATGTCCTGATTCTAGATTTAGACTTCATTGGTATTGGCCACATTGGTCATATCTTAACCTTATAAAAAATGCCAAAATCAAAATAAAATACTAAATCAAAAAATACTATTCGTAATTTATATCCAACTAGAACAGACCTTATAGCAAAAAGTATTTATAATAACTAACCTATTATAAATGAATCCCTTACAACAACAATACCATTATCCATCTGAACCTCTGAATCATTTTTTAAAAAAACAATATCAAGTAAATACAATGTTTCAAAATTATGGATTACCACAAATCTTTTACACTATAAAATAGGAGAAGATAAATGGTTACATTTAAAAGAAATACTAAAAAATACTGATAAAAAAGATCCATTACCAACTAATAGACCATTGCATGTATATTTTCACTATTATAATAGATTAACAAATATATGCAACAAACTTTAGAAAGATCCTGAAATTGTATAATGGGAAAAATATCTTCATTATTTTGAAAGAGATGAATTTCAAAATAGAGGTACTATACACACACATGGATTTGCTTATACTAAAAAAAAATATCAGAATTAATTGAAAAAATACAATACACATAGATTTGCTAAATCAAATCACTGAATCAATACTTCATTAATTAGTTTCTATATATTAAATACACAAATGTAACAAAGAAAAATGCAAAGGTTCAGAAATAGATACAAATCATGCAAAAAAAGATTTCCTTAATCCTTATCAATTTATACATATTGTAAACCAAATTCTAAAAGATATATTTATAAGAGAACAAAAAAAATTGATCATTGGATAGTTTCTTATCATCCTGAAACATTACTAAAATAGTAAAAACACATAAATTTTCAATATATAACTACAATTGGATTTAAATAATATGTAACAAAATATGTAACTAAAGCTGAACCAACAGAAATTTTGATATAAAAGAACAAGCTTCTTATAAAAAACATATATAAGTAAGAAGATTAGGATCAATTGAATTTATAATATTACTATTACAATATCTGATAATAAGATCATCAGCAGCAGTACAATTTCTTTCATCTACACCATCAAAATTAAGAATCTGATCAGATAAACCAATATATATGCAAATTAACAATGATGATAAAGAAAATGAATATGAACATGATAAACTATATTTTGATAATGCAATTAATAAATATTGTGATAAATCAAGCAATGAAATATTTGAAAATATAATCTACCTAAAATATTTTAAAAATTATAATATTATAATTAAACTATTATCAATTAATTCAAAACTATATACAACCCAAGACCTAAAAAACTGATATATAACAAAAAGAAAAAAACACTACTACTAAGATTTACAAATTACAAAGTTGATGATAGAGAACCTTTCTTCTTCAACATCTAATAATAAAAATTCTTATACAATCTCAAAATAAACTACTTAAAACTACACAAGCTTTAGAAAAAGATTTTAAAATGAATACCCTATAAAATACCAACAAACCTTAAATAAACAATCAAATAGTTCATTATTCACGAAAATTATACTTTCAAAAGCATTTAAAAAAGCAATTAGATTAGTTTTAGAAGAATTAGATAAAAATGAACTTTGGAATATATAATCAACTTATCTTATTAGAAAAATCATCCTTAATATCAACCTCAATTTAACACTCAATAAAGAACAATATAAAACTTATAATATATTATGCAACACTTGAGGTACTAAACAAGAAAATAAATATTCATATTTTTTTATGACTAGATCAACAGGAACTGAAAAGTCATTTATAATATAATATATAACAAACATGTTAGAATCAAAAAATATTAAATACATATTATTAGCTTTAATTCAAATATATGCCTAAAACATAGGTGGCAAAACCATTCACTCTACCCTCAAAATTAGAAAATATAATAATCATTATCAAATACTAATATTAAATGACAAAAAATCCAAAATAGAGCTGCTAAAAATAAAAGTAATCATAATTGAAGAAATCTTTATGGTATCTGATGAATTGTTGACTTTTATAAGCAATATATTCAGTTTAATACAAAAAAATCATAAACCATTTGGAGGAATTCTAATTCTTGCAATTGGTGATCTCGCCTAACTATCTCCTATTAATAGATAACAAATATTTTATTTATTAATATGGAAACTATTTTTTCCTCTCTTCTTATTACAACTAAAATAACAAAAAATTGATTTAGACTAACTATAACCTTCTACAAGAATTGAGATTTAGATAACTTTTTGAAAAATCAAAATCAATAATAAATCAAAAAATATCTGAAACAACTAATATAAATATAATAATAAATTAAATACATATTGTTAGCTTTTGCAAAACTGCCTAAGAAATCTACTCCTTTATCTATAGTAACTTACTAATAAGTAACAAAACTGCAGAAATCATTATATCAAAACCTATAGATAACTTAACAACCAAATAATTAATAACAAAAATGACCAATATCATTTCAAAAATTATATCAACTTACTAAATTCTATAATAATACAAAAAGATATACATATAATGTATTTAAATAATGAACTCTTTGAACATGAAATATGCAATAAAGTATTAGAGTAGTAACAAAAATTACAGATAATGATAATATAAAGATAACCTTTCCTATGACTGATGATATAACTAAAATCAACATATAAAAAATGATGTTATACTTCAATATCAATGGTATACCAGCATCACGATGTTAATTTTTAATTTAGAATGCATTTGCATTAATTGTACATAAAATACAAGATCTTATACTACCTCACAACACCCTAACAATCAATGAAAATATGTTCTTAATTAATTAAGTATATGTAGCGATGAGTAGAGTCCCCTCATAAAATTCTATAAGAATAATATTCTTCAATTTTAAATCTCTTAAACTAACAAAGAAGTTCTCGTAGAATACAGAAGGTTAAAACATATAAACTAAAAAGGTCTAATAAAATTCTGAACTAATTACTAAATAAAAGACCTAATAATAAAAATAAAAATAAATCTAAATAACTGAAAGCTCATAATATAATATAACCTTTGATCAGAATTTTCTTGTATATATTCAAAATAAAAAAGGCTTGTTTATTTTTAAAAATATTAAAGAAAAAAAATATTTAATCAAATGCAAATTTTTTTACATTTGTTTCTTCTAATCTAAACCATTATTAGTATATATAATATATTATTATTTAAAAAATTACATAATTATCTTTATTAAATTTGTTTAAAAAGACATATTTACATGTTACATTCGAAAAAAGAAATAGGATATACAATTACTAATAATTTAATAATATTTGAAAATTGATTGAAATAAGAAAATAAGTAATTTTTCTATTATTTTACTAAGGATTTATTAGTTAAAATAGAAATCTATCAGGTTTGGCATTTATAATTATTTCTTAATTTAAGCTGCAATTTGTAAGGAATTTTTATATAATTAACCTTCAATGAAATTAATTTTATTTTTACACTGCCTTTATACCTATTTTAAATAAATATCAGCAATTTGAATAATATTAAAGAGATACTGATTGTAATGAATGACTTTTTGGTAATTTGATTAAGGTGTACTTTCGATAATGTGAATTTTTGATAATTATTTCTGCATTTATTTACTTGTATAGCTGCTGCTATACTATGTTATAATTAGAATAAATTTGTGATTTAAGCTTTTTCTGTATTACTTTTGTATTATGTTAAATTTAATCATCATATTTTAAATAAAATATATTTTTATTGATTTTACTAATCTTTGTCTATACATTTTATTTTGAAAATATTTGTTTTTTATTTTTTATTAGCATAAAATTTATTATTTGCATCACATTTTTAGTATTATATATATATTTTAAGATATTTAGTTTATCAATTTTTTTGTTTATTATCTTTTTTTGTGAAAATTTTGTTTATCACACATTTTTTGGGAATAATTCAAATTTATTTTTCTTGTTTTGTATATTTGTAAATGCTATAATCAATCTGATCTTTTTTTTTAAAAAAAAATTTTTTCTCTATATATATTTTAAAAATCAAAAAAATCAAAAATTAAATCAAATATAATATGCCTGCTTAATTATCAACAATTTTGTACATTTTAGGTTACAGAAAAAAATTTTAAGTGGAATTTTTTGCAAAAAAAATATCTCTTACTTTTTTTAAGTAATATTATTTAGCAAGTTCAAAATTACTTACATCTCAATTTTCATTAAGGTTGGTTTGGTATTTGTGAAGTTTGTAATGCTAATGATAATGAATTCAATTTTTATGCTATTTAATGACTTTTCATTTATTTAAAATTTAAATAGAATAAAAAAGTATATAAAATGCTATTAGTATTATTGGTTAAATTAAAGAATTAAATTAAAATATACAAAAATCATTTAAAATATAAAAAATAAATAAATTATTTAAAAATTAATAAATAAAATAAAATATTAGTAATATAATTAATAAAAAAAATTCGAGAGTATTAAATAAGATTAAAAAAACAAAAAAATTATTAAAAAAAAAATTAAATTTTAAAAAATCTATTAATAAAATTGCATGTATTAAAAAAATTAGAAAAAAAAAATATAATAAAAAAAATTAGATCTAAAAATCAAAAAAATCAATTATTAAAATAAAATACAAATAAAAATAAAAATTAATTGAAAAGAAAAATTAGATTAGAAAAATTAAACTTCTTTTTTATTAATATAATTAAATGTTTTCAAAATTTAGTTTTATATTTTTATTTATCATAAATGAAATTTTAAAGTTTAATTGAATTGATTACGCAATCAATTATTTAATGCTAAACGGGGGACGAAGTCCCCCGCAAACCGCAAACTCTAGTTTTTATACAAAACGCGTTAAGATACGGTTTGCAGTAAAAAAATATTAATATTTTGTCATGTCTTTTTTCATGTTTTTTACTAATTATTTTTTTAAAATGGAAATAGAAACTATTGTCAAACGAATAATAGAATAGTAGAGGTTGATCAAGATGGTAATGAAGATGGAATTACACCTTATTCTCCTCAAACAAGGAAAGAATTATCGATTGATTATAAAGATCCCAAACAAGTAAAAAAAAAAGTTCAAACAATAATAGAAAAATAAATTTAAAGCAGAGTATCTTTTATTAAGAAAATAATTAAGGGAAGTGAAAAATAATAATGAAGAATTGAAAAAGTTACGCAGTAGCTTGACAGTAATTTGTCAATAGAGAAAGCATCTAAGAAACAATTAGAACAAATTCATACAAAAGCAAAGAAAGAATTCGAAAATAAAGTAAAGTCCTATACACAACGTTATGAAGAACTTGCATTTGCAAAAACAACTATGGAGCAAGAATTGTTAAAGAGAAGAAGCAAAATCAAACAAAGAATTCGACTCAAAATTAAAAAGCCTAGAAAGTGTAATAAAAACTTATAAACATCGTAATGAAGAATTTGCATTGCAAAAACGAAATATGGAGCAAGAATTTGATAAAGAGAAACGAATTATTGAGCAGGAATTTGTTAAAGAGAAAGAAATTACGAGAGGAATATCGATAATTTAGAACTAAATATAAAGAAATAAAAAAAAAATTTCGATCAAGCATTGCAACAATCACAAGAAAGAAAAATAAGAATATTAATACCATGCAAAAAAAAATTAAATGATAAAGGAAACGGCTTACGTGAATTAGAAGCTAAACTTAGAAAAAGGCCGCTAAATATCAATCAGCCCTTGATGCACCAAATACTCGGCTTGATGACGATGATCAAAATCATTCGGTTAAATTCAAACAAAGACATCTTAAATTTACAGAACTCATTGGAAAATTATGTTATTCATTTGAAACATAAAAATTTATTCTTCAGTTAAATAATAACTACTAACCTCTTCTAAGATTAACAACGAGTGATAATTACTTTCTTTGAAACTATTAATAAATAACGTTTAATTGTATATATATATATTTTTTTTAAATCAAAATTGAATAAAGGGATTACAAACATACCATCAACATCGAGACTCTTTGTTAGTTTTCCCATTCACATTCAGAGATTTTAAAGTATTCGAAGACAAATTTATTGGCCAAACTGTATAATCGCACTTTGGTTTCAGTATTGGTGACAGTTTCACTCAAGTAAGTTTCGGTTTTTACGTAAACTGTATTCCACTCTTGCCGATGATTCCATAATAAATGCTATAAAGAAAAGGATTTACAGAATGAGGTGAGTAATTATCTGATTTGATTAATAAACTTAATGAATAGTAAAGTTTACTTGTAATTCTTGCCGAACTCCAAACATAAGCTTACTACTTCATCATTTTGTAAATAAGCGGAAAATGATTTTATCAGCTCATCTTTGGAAGAAAAGTTAAACAAGCTTGCTACATTGTCGGCTAATTCAAAAAAACCATCTTAACGTTGATAAGTAATCAAAAGATATAAATTATCGATGTTGATGGTATCTTTAGAGATAGGAGCTGTAGATTCGGATTCCAATTCGCAAAAGGAATGAAAATCGGCAGTAAACCGAAGCTTTCCTCTACTAGATCCTTTTAATATCAAATTGTATTCAAGACCTATATTCTTTCCTTCTATGGCCCTTCTACGAACCTTCATAAAATCCTTGGTAATATCCCAAAAAGTTATGTTTGAAGAAACCATTATAATCATAAACTTTCAATTTGAATTGATCATCAAGATCATTCATTGGAATGTAAATTACCACTCTGGCTTGATTGATTTATAAACAACGAGTTTTACAAGTCGATAGGCATGAGTTCTTTAGCTTCGATAATAGTAATTCGGGAAAGACCATAATATTTTTTAACTAAATTTTAAAAGAAAATAAGCTAAGCAAATATTTTATAAACAATCCCTAAAATAATTTATAAAGTAAATTATTTACCAGGAACTTGCAATGCCTCCTCATCGAACAACTCACTATATAAAACATTTGTTAGTAGGATTTTTTTTTTAGACCGAGAGATATTTTATATGGGACAAGAAAAAATTAATACCTGTTAAATGGATTAAAACATAGCAAGTTTTACAACAGTTATATTTAACATATTCTAAAATAATTTGCTTGCATCTTTGGTTCAAAAGCATTGGGTTATATTCTTATTTTTTGATAAATACAAACTAGCATATTTTGGATTTTGCTGTTGTGAAATAAGTTCTTCAGTATCGGAAAACGGGTTTTATTCAATAACACGTCACGATTTCTAACTTTAAAGGGAAATAATTCATAAGCATTGGAAAAAAATTGTATAAAAGTAAATTTAGGTAAATTGACATAACGTTTGTCTTTTTGACAATAAGCAAATGTGGATAGGACATTTTTGCCTTGAACCATATAAAAATGATGATCAATTATAGGAGAATAATCATTTGGAGAATTTAATCTGTTTAATGCGGGAATTCCAATGCAAAGAGAACACTTTTGATTAGGTAATATCTTATTCATTATAGGTTGATTTTTTGTTGAATTAAAATCATTTTTTAGAACTTTCAACTGAAAGTCAAAGCCTGAAAGTAAAGAATCAAATGATATGTCATAATCAATAGCCATCCAACTGATTTTCAAAGTTTTCTAAATTTTTCTTGAATACTGTGAATGTTAAGTCTTGGTTCATCATCTTGCAGCCAAAAGATTTGACAATTAAAGAATTCATCATTAGTTTCTTCCTCATCAAAAGTTGCAAAGATGTTACAGTCTGCATCTTTATTTTGAAGGGTTTTTGAAATATTTCCGGTTTACCACTTTCACTAAACGTATAATTGTAAGTTTCCGTTTTCGAATAAATAACTTATTTTCCAAACAAAACAAATATTTTCTTTGTAATCATCAGATAAAAGTTGAAAGATACTGATAGGATCTTCTAATGACTTAATCGAAGCTATTTCATTGAAATTTTCAATGCCTTCAAGTTTGCCTTCTTAATCTATAATCCAGGTACCTTTTGATATTTCAACATCCGCAATATCTGGAGCTCCTAAATTGATATCACAATCATTTGCTTTTTCTGTAAAATAAATTCTTCCACCCAAGATCACTTCAGTTGGTATGAATTGACAAAATCCTCAACTATTCGAATAAAATTTATCGGCTTTTCGATTTTATGGCATCATTTACTCTCTCAAGAAATTCTTCAGTTGGCATCAAATGATTCCTAATGTTAACTTTAAGGAGTGTTTGCCGTAATTTCTATAATGAAAAGTTGAATTTATTTCCAAATTTGATTTGTTTCTTTTCATTATTCCAGCCGATAATCCCAACTTTATAAAATTTTGCAATGTATTATTCCTTACGAACCTTTGATAAATTATCATCAAGGGGCACACTTTTACAGAAAAGACATTTCCAAATAAATTCAAAGAAATTCACATTTTTTTTTTTTGAAAAAAATAAGTTTTTTCGTTATTTCTATGCTATTTAAGGATGAAAGGTTTTGAAAATTAGCTGTTCGCTTTTAGGGAGAAAAAATACAATGCTGTTGGTTACATTACCTAAAACAAGACTGCAGTACTCGCTAATAACAGTATATTGTAGTCGAAATTTAAATTCCGTAAGCGTAACCAAAAAATTTAACTAGAACTATGCCTTCAAAGAAGTTCTTTTGTAATGACGGCAAGGAAATATATTGTTACTATGCTTTGGATAAGAATTGTTATCTCCGGAAATGATTCGTAATTTTCTAGCCTTTCGATATCTTTTCTTTGATCATTATAGTTTCGCTCTTTATAAAAATAATATATAAATATATTACTTGTAATGATTTAGGCTATTGTAGATGAGAACGGGGACGGTTCTCTCGGTTTCATTTTCGGTTCTTCCTAAAACTTTAAGCATTAAAGACAAATGAACGTGATGTCGACAATCAAAAAATTTTTATTGGTTATCAAAACGATAGGAGGATTTTAAACTAAACATTTCGTTAAATCTTGATTTGATCAATCAAAAAAAAAAGAAAACCAATAAATTTTTTTTTTCTTGCTTGCCCAACTAAAATATTGTTTTATAAACAAAATTAAATATTGAAGAAATTTAATGAAGTTAATGAATTTAATTAAATAAATGTGCCTACCATGATCATTCTGAATCAATCTAGCAATTTCCTCATCTTGTTCATCTTCAAACTCAAGATTTCGATCGTTTATATAACTAGCTCTAAGTACTCTAATCGCGTCATTTATATGTTTATTCTCGGCCGAGTGGTTATTAGCTTCTTTCATGTCATTATGTCTAGTTTTAATAGTGATATATATGCCATAATCTGATCCAAAAATTAAATTATAGTCTTGTTCGAGGCCAATAAAATAAAATGCGGGTAGAATTTCACCAATATCATTCACTAAATCTTGCTCCTCGAGATTTCTAAAATTAAGTTCCCGACGAACTTTCAATTTGTTATTATTTTTAAGTGATTGAAACCATTTTTCACAGACTGGTAAAATATTTTTTAATGTATTCCTTTGATAGTTGATGTAAATAGAGTTTTCATTTTGCCTAAGGTCAAATTTATTAAAAGCTCCTCGAAGCAAATTATCAATATCAATATGATCGTAATGATGATCTTTTGAACACAAAAGCATAAGGGAAGAATTTGTTTTTCTGAAAGGATGAGATAAAATCTTCAAAAATATTGTACGAATAAATTCTTTCTGTGATTCTTTTATGGTTGGTTTTGGGTAAGACATTGTATTGATATTTGATGAGAACTTACAAGTTTTCATGTGTTTAAATAGTTTTAAGATTAATCATAACTTCAACCTTTATATAAAAGATTCATTTATGAATAGTGTAACAAATTCCTTGTAGTGGAAACACAATTCTCATAAATGTCGTGGTATCTTATTGTACGGAATCTTTGTCTTGATCCTTCAAACTTTCTTAGAATATAATAGGCTAATTAGGTTTCCAGCAAATCATAATACCGCCTGTCGGGAATTAGCGCGATATGAGAACAAATAACCTTGGATTATATATTTTGTAAAAAATACATTCGGGAGTGCAAATTAATTAAGCGTCATTGTTACTATTTAATAAAAGTACATGAATATTGACTCAATGTCTGCAAAATATTTTATTTTCTGGAAAAAATAATATACATGAAATATTGGTAATCGTGCCGAAATACGAAACAAACAATGTAAACGAGAAGGTGGTGATAATAATTGTGACTTTTAACGAAAATTGCCTAATATAAATGTACGTTTCAAGTTTTTTGTTATACCGTCACAAACACTTATTTTTTTTTTACTACAACATTATCGTTTTCTCTTTGTTAGACCGCATGTGTACGTTATGCACCTCAATGACAATGAAAAAAAAAATATAATAAAGAGAAAAATAATCATTGGCACGAGTATAATATAATGACATATTATATCTTTTCTGGATGTGAAATCAAGGTCTTTTTTTAATCAGTCGTGCAAAAATATTACCAAAACGATTGTGTTTCATTTATTGTTTGACAATACACTTCTTTTTTTTTGATCTAAATCTAGGATCAAGTAGGTTCTAATAGTAGTATATTCCTAAGAATTTGGAAAATCCAATTATTCCAGAAATTTGTTAAGTCCAAGAATTTCTGGTATTCCAAATGTTTCTGAAATAGATTTCCGCCAAAAATTTGGCAAGAGTCTAGATTTCCGAAAAATAAATGCTCAGAAATTGTTTTTCTTCATTTAAGAATTATTTTCTGCTTCCCGAACTTGCACCTTCATAAATCTAAATTTCTTGACGCAGTTGGTGATTAGTTCTAACCCGCTTCTTATACTCCATAGTCTAATCTTGCATGAATCGATTAAATGTATATTATATTTGAGTAATTGTTGATATAAAATGTCAAGCTCATTTTTAACCCAACGGTTGATTTCTTTCATGATTGCAAAAGAAAGAATCTTGTGATTGTGTCTCTTTATCTCTGTAACGCATGTAACTAGTACCGGGATGTATTACATTCAGGTGAGCTTTTAGGCGTTTCCGGTTTAACGAATTTTCATAAACCTCTAATGTATGGCACAAATATGAATCAATTCAATCAGATTTCTCAAAAATTAATTCTAATGGAATAGGATCTTTAGAGTGTGTAAAAGTCTCCATATGCTCTTTAACAAAGCTTTCTGTGTCTATAGTCAGAATGGACCATTTAGTTATAGTTTGCGCAAAAAAATTTGCATGCAAAAATGATCATTGATACATGATTTAAATAAAACCTTTTAAGGCAAAACTTTATTATAGTACAAAAACTAAGGTAAAATTTGCTCATCTAAAATTTCATGAAACTTGCCAGTGACATTCCGAAACCTAGCACTCATTCTTACATTGCTAAAATCCCTGTTGTGCCAGAAATGTGCAACATTTAACCCTTTATCCTGAAATCTTTTTCCCGGCCAGTATGGATTAGTTACAACAAAATCTTCACGAGAAAAATGTATGACCCATACTTCTTGAGGACAGAGGCGCTCAGCGTACTTAAATACTTGTTCGAAATGCCCATTTAATTTTGAAATTGATGCTGTCGCCAGGAGTTCAAGAAGAGCAACAGGATGGGTTATCAGGTTTCTTTATTGTTAGGTCGCAATAAAAGTGATGATAATCGCCATCATTGCAAACTTGTTCAAGATGCCACTGGCCAGTAATTTCGTAGCCGTGAATCTTCCTTAGCCAATTTACTAAGAGCCTGTACATCTCTGCGTCGTACGTGCTCTCCCGAGGAACTTTAATGAATTGCTCTGAGTCTACATACATGTGGTTCGAACATTTGTACGAGCGGGAGGATCCTAGTGCTATCGTGCCTTGGTCGAATTCACGTACTACAACCTTTAAAATTTCCAAAATATCTATGGATCCATTTTTTTGCAATGGTACATCTATGGAGATATCCATGATGTTACCAATACTTCGTATTTTCCCAGCAACTGGTACAGATGCTAACGAATCTTGCTGAATGGAAATATCAGCTAAAGGTTTTCGTACCTTTTTTCCTTCAACCTAAGTAAAGTAACGGTCAACGAGATAATATTTCTTAGCAAATATATTTAGCAGAACGCGGAGAAATATTTAGCATATTTTTTGTTATATAAAGGAAGATACATAACCGACCCCTCCTCCAGGATCAGTAGACCTTTATCAAAAAATGAGTATGTTAAACACTGCAATAACCGGGGGCTTATACATCCCCAAGCGAAAGCTTTGTGTTTAATATATCAAATTCGTAAAAGCATGTAAGTGCTTATATAATAAAAACATACCTTTTTAGTGAATAGAAGGCTCCTAACAGCCTCAAGGACTTCTTGTGATGTGCTTGGGTCATCACGAATAATATATAAAGTGTTATAAAACACCGTATGGGCCTCGTTTTTTTCAACAGCTCCGAACATATTAGTGGACCAGGAGGTGAAATGCTGAATGGACCACATTTCACATGTAAAGAGCCAGAAATATTCGATATTACCCTTCGAGTGAAGAACTTTCGTTTGATCCTTAAACATTTTAGCTTGTTTATCAAGCTTCATAGCGGGTCCTCGTTTCATACCATCATTCATAAACTTTGTTTCGGTCATATCTGGGAAGACTTGACCATCAATTTTTTCTTTGCGAAGAATTTTGAAGTCATCCTCGTCGAGGTTTAAGTTTTGGCCACGCAAAAAATAAATAAGAGTATCAGTATCCCAGTTTTCGGCCAAGTTAGCAATAGCAGTAACAGTGTGAGAAGACATAATAATTTAATTTGTTAATATAAACGCAAAGAAGTGAAAAAATTAAGTAGAGCGAGTTAATGAAAAATTCTGGAATGACCTTACTCTCGTTATTTTATAAAGATCGAAAGAGTCGCGTTCGAAAGAGTCGCGTTTAAAGTACAGAGGGCCGCCAAAAGTCTCCGAACACTTTTTGGCTCATTAAAAAACTTAAAATTTTATAATATGAATAAAAAAAGTTTATTAATATCTTTATTAAAATAAGATATTCGCTAAGTTTTGTATTAAGTAATTAATACTTAGTTGGGCCTCCCTTTGCTTTAATCACAGCTTGAATTCGCTGTGGCATACTATCGACTAAATTTTCGATAGTTTGTATCAGAATTTTTCTCCATGCCTTGTTAACATGTTGTTCGAGTTCAGCAATATTGAAAGACATTTTTTTCCTTTCACGAATGCTTTTCTTAACATCTACCCACAGGTTTTCAATCGGATTGAGGTCTAGACTTTGAGCCGGCTAAGAAAGTTTGCGCAAGCTATTTTCTGTGTGAAATTTCTTCGCAACTTTTGATATGTATGGACGAGCATTATCCTCCTAGAACCAACCATCACCATTTGGAAATACACGCTTCATGGTTCGCATGACAAACCTTTGAAGGATAGTAACATGTGAGGTACCGGTTGCTGTTCCAAATAATGGAACAATAGGTCCTATACCTTGTCTCGAAAAGCATCTCCAAAATATTCGACTTGGACTATGCTTTACTGTTGCAGAAACACAAGAAATATTGTATTCTTCACTAGGTTCTCGCCAAACTCTACTGCACCGAGATTGTTGAAATTGAGAAAAGGTCGACTCATCACTCCACAGAACTTTCGACCAATCATCCTTTGTCTAACTTTGATGTTCTAAGCACTATGCAAGACATGCCTCCATATTTACTGATGAGATTAGAGGCTTACGTCGAGTAATATAATTATTTAATCTAACTGCACGAAGTGCACGGCCAATAGTGCGAGTTGAAATAACTTGGCCAGTCTTTTTATTCCAGAATTGTTGAATTT